CTCTCTCTCTCTCCCGTTCTGCCTGCATGTATCCCTGCATGCCAGAAGAGGGCACCAGATCTCATTATTATACATAGGGGAGGGAGGCATGATACCAGCACCACTGTCTCCTTCCTCCTTTGTACTGGCCATGGGGCACAAGAACTAGAGCCCTTGCAAAGTTGGTTCCAGAATCAGATACCCTGACTGCAGCCCAGTCAGTACAAGAATAGGTCTAGGCAGAGATGGGACAGGGCCATATACAAAGAGGACAGGGTGAATACCTACCTCTTCTTTCCTTTCTAATGCACCATCAGGAGTACAGAAGGAGCTGCATTAGCACTGGGGCTGTCCCAGTTTCCAAAGTGTGCTCTGTGGACCACCAATACACAGGGAGCAAGTATCACTTATAACGTCTCTCTCTTAAAAAGTCAGTGAATTTAGGCAGCTGTCTAGCTTTTTCTTCCTCAAACATTCCCTTCTGGACGGAGGAGAGAGCTCTTAAGACCCAGTAAGCTAATGACAGAAGTGCATAAAAGTTATAGAACTGAGTTTGCCTGGCATGGTGGCACATGTCTTTAGCACATGGGAGGCCAAGGCAAGTGGATCTCTGAGTTATGGCCAGCCTCGTCTACAGAGTATTCTAGGACATCCAGGACTAGCTACATAAATAGACCCTGTCTCAAAGGGAAAAAAGGAAGGAAGGAAAGAAGGAAAAAGAAAGAAGAAGAAAGGTACAAGATTCACAAGTCCCACCCCCCTACTCCTCTACTCCCACTTTTAAAGTAGCAAATAATTGGCGTAGAGAGAAGACTCTTTTCGTGGAACTATCTGAAAGCTGTACAGAGAACTCCAGAGATGCAGCTATTATGAGTTCTCACCTATTCTAGATTGTGATTTTTGGTGTGTCAGTTCCCCATGTTACCCATACACCTGTAAGTAACACCATTAAATTCACTGATTCAAGCTAGATTTGGATGGAAGTTTCTTTGCTTGTTAGTGCCCTTATCTTGTGTTCTTGTATTTATCTGACCACAGAACATTGTGAACACCTGAAAAATTACTGACTCTCAAAACACATTGGCAGATAAAAGTTCCTGGATGGGTACTCAAGCCCTAGTTATTTCTCCAAGGCAGAATAGACTGCAGCTTAGTGTGTTCCCACACAGAACTCTACACCCAGCTTGGTCAGTAGCTCTCAGGGGTCTCATAATCTAACCAACTTCAGCTGACAATTATGCCCCAAGAGAAAATAGTCTGCTGTCACATGAAGGCCCTAGTTGGGAAGGTCTCCTGCCCAGCATGACTTTCCCCAAATGTTGTAAACTAGTCTCAAGAGTTCTGGAGGACTCTCTTGAAATGCTCCATGGATATGGTCAGTATGTCTCAAACTCTCCTCTCACCAAAGGCTCCTGTCTGCCTGGACCTCAGGCACATTTACTTCAGCTTCACATGGTTTCAAAAGCCTTGCAGCATTTTTGGGAACTTCGGTAGTCATGTAAATGCATTAAGGGATAAAGCAAATTTGACAATGGCAGGAAACACAAGCAGGACCACTAGAGGGCAACCTATCTCCTTCTATAGCTATGTCCTTTCTTTACGACTGAAGCAGTTTTCTCAAGTCCCTAAAATCGGTATTCTCAAGAGACCTTTCTCCCTTCCTTGTTTCAGCAGTAGGGCCTACTATTAGCTTCTCTGGCTTCTTAGAATGACATGCCCACCAGTCCATTGATATGTTCTTCCCTCTAAGGCAGTGGTTCTCACCCTTCCTAATGCTGTGATCCTTTAATACAGTTCTTCATGTTTTGGTGACACCCAACCATAAGATTATTTCACTGCTACTACATAACTATAATTTTGCTACTGTTATGAATTTCAATGTAAGTATCTGATATGCAGGATATTTGATATGTGACCCCCAAAGCGGTTGCAACCCACAGGTTGAGAAACATTGCTTTAAGGTGATGATTCAAGTGTTCCCTAGGAATCTCATTGCATACACAGTCTATGCTTAACAAATGTATGCATTTTAAGCCTCAGTGTAAGGGACTTCCCTATCCCAAATGCCATCAAAGGTGGATGTAATCAATACTGCAATTTACTAAAGAATAAAGAATGGCTCAATGATTAGGAGTACTTGCTAATCATTGACCCACATTCAGTTTCCAGCACCCATGTTAGGTGGCTCACAACTGCCTGCAACTTTAGCTCCAGGAGATCCAACACCCTGCCTTCTTTTGGCCTCTTTAGGCATGAGCACTCACATGCACATACATACACAGTTGTGCCTAAATAATAAATAAATCTTTGAAGCCGGAGAGATGGTTCAGCTGTTATGAGCACTTGCTGCTCTTCCAGAGGATCCAGGTTTGGATCCCAGTACTCACATGGTGGTTTACAACTCTATGTAGCTTCAGTTCCAGGGGATCTGGCACTCTCTTCTGGCTTCCACAGACACTATATGCACATGGTGCACATACATACATGCAGGCAAAATACCTACACACATAAAAATCTTAAGAAGTAAAAAGGAATAGAGAGGTGCAGAAATAAGGCAGAGGCTAAGGGCCCTCCCTACCCCTAAAGTGATCAAAAGCTCATACCTCTCTGGGCAAGCAGTCATCTGGGAACTTCCAGTTAGACCTCTAGCATTTCTTTTTTACAAGTCTGAATATTTTAACTTGCTTTTCATTTTATTATTAGACAACAATTCTCTAGGCTGCCAAGAACAGAAGCTCCACCTGAGGAATGCCTAGCAGCCTGTGATGTCTTGCTTATTATGGTCTTCCTTGGAGGTCTCTCTCCATTTTGTCACTTGCTTCACTGAATCCCAGGCTCCAGCAGGGGACTGGGAGTCTTCAGTTCAGACTGCAATGTCCAAACTTACATTAATCAAAATCAAATAAACTAGAATTTCAGATCCAAGTTTGCACTAGTTATACTTCAAGGGTTCAGTCACCACACAGGCTGGTGTTACACAGTGTGGCATAGGACACATGCACCATAGTAACTGACTTCCTTTCTGTGTAATAACCAAGCCAACAAGAGTACTTCTAAGATCTTGGCTTCTGAAGACTTAGTTCCTATAGTCTGATCACAACACACAAACCTGCAGGCCTACCCTTGTGACCAGTAACAGTTGCTGATAAATAAGCCATTCCTGGCTCATTTGCAAATGGCTGGCTATTCCCTCAGGGATATTCAGCCATGAATTTGTCCTCCACAGCTCTGCCACTCACTAGTGCCCTGTGCTAACCTCTCCCCCAAATAGCAGGAAACGTAAAAAACCTTGGGTCCTGGAAGTGATATCCAAGAGTTCTGACTTGAGAATGCCAGGTTTCTCTAAAAGGTGACAGGTTAGCACAACCTGATTTCTAAAATAAGACTGCCTCAAGAGTGCCTACCACTTTCCCTCCATTCTCTTCTCAATTCTATTTTAGATCTTCAAGTATTCCAGAGGAAATACAAGACACAAACAACTGGGTACTCACTCTTGAGAAGTTTAGATCTTTGATTCAAAGGAACTTAAGGACCTTGGAACAATTATACTACAAATATAAATAGTAAAAGGCTTTTTTTTTTTGTAAAGTGGTCCCCAATAGACTAGTTTCTTAAACTTAGTTGCAAATCTTTTGTTTTATACAGAACTTTTCCTTGCAGTGTAGCTATGACAAAAGTACCACACACTCTCAACTACACACATCCAATCTCCTACATTCACCCATGCATGTTCCTATAGATGTTCATGCACAATCACAAAGGGTTGAGATAGGACTCTGTTCTCACTGGGGGAGACAAATGATTTCTGAGAAGAATGTAGCAAAGCTTGACAAAGCTCAGGCCATTCTAGTGCTACTCTGTAAATGCAAATCTGGGTCTTTTGCAAAAACAAGAAGTGCTTTTTAACTGCTGAGGCATCTTTCCAGCCCCCAAAGGGTTCTTTTAAGAGAGGTGCTTCAACTATGTCCCTCTCAGTATTTGGTGCAGCCTATGCATTTATTCATTCGTTGTTCATTTTTTACTGCATCCATGAGGAAGTGAGCAAAACCCAATAGTTGTACATGGAATCTTCTGGCACACCTGTCTTACAGCAAAATTGAATATTAGTTTCTAGATTCTGGTCCTACTCCCAGTTCCTGACTTCTAGGGTAATCTCCCAGAGAAGTCAGCAATGTTAGCTCATAGAAATTAATAACCAGACTGCATTAAGATCATATCTACTACATGGAGAAGGTCCAGGAGGGCAACCCCAGGCAGTTCTAAACAAGACAAGCCTGGTAGGTGGGCACTGCCTGCCAGGGACCTGTGGGGCTGACTGCACAGCTACACCAGGCCCTCCAGCACAGCCAGACACCTATAAGCAACCTGGTCCACTGGTTTGGGAATGACCAGAAACCTGAGCTTATAGCTCTGAATTCACTAGTTATTTTAACTCTGGTTTCTATGTTCTCATCTATAAATGGAACCCTCAGGGTTGCTGTGAGACATCTGTGGTACATGTTGGATATTCACACACAGCCTAGTCCACAGCATGGACTTTGTGTTGGCCAAGACCCAAAGTGTTCCAAAGATATGTGTGACCAGTAAACAAAGTAATTTCAATGGACAAAGTCCACCATCTTCAGTGGACAAAAGTCAAATCTACTTACTGCTCCCCTTTAGTTAACAAATGGAAACCTATCAGGTTTTAACATCAGAATACATGCCAAGCCAAGAAAAAGGGAGTATAAAGCATCAGAATCATGCTTCATTTTTGACTCTCAAATTAAGTGGGCGGGCTTGTCAAGACTGTCATGTAGATTCTGCCTGTGGGTTAGAGAAAGGGGTAGGTCACTAGCTGAAAGCTCTTAAATATTTGACGGAAACACAGATCACACATCATAGAGAAGCAGAGGCAGACCTTGAGTGAGCATACTTCACTCTGGAACAAAGCTACTGGGGCTTCCCTATTGGTGAGTCATTTGTTTTTATTGGTTCTCTTAGATTCCTGCCTGCAGCATGACCTGTATACACCATGCAAGCTACTGAATTCAGCTACACATGGCTTCTACCCCCCACTCCCATGGTTGCTGTAAGGGTTAGAGAAATATGAAAACTTTATTGGTTCTGGCATACAGCAAGTGCTTATAAAAGAATGAGAAAGGTAGTAATGGAGTAACCAGATCCACCCAGGAACATAAAGCAGTCTAGTTGCTGGTCTCCTATTTTTAGCAATAATTTTTCTATTTTCTGTTCTTTTGTATCTTACAAAACAAGCTATAATCCTCAATTACCATTCACTTCTTTTTCACTATGAATCACTGTGAAACTACAGACACTGGAGACTACAGAAAAATAAAAAGGAGATGAATTAAGTAATTTGAAATTCTGCCAGCCAAAGGCCAATGTTAACAGAGTTTGGTCCTTTAAGATTGTAGTCAAAATTATAAAATTCTTAAACAAGAGTCTATAGAATATGTGGTTCATGAAGTCCTGGAATTATAGACCTTTACTTATTTCTCAGTGAAGATCTACAGCTTTAATAAGATTCATAAAAAGGTTTGTGATCACAGAAAGTTAAGAAGCTAAGTGTGGCAGCAATCCCAGCACTTGGGAGGTGGAAGCAGGAAGATTAGAGGGTGCCATCTATTTGTTGTAACCATAATAGCTCATGATTTTTTTTGCATGTTTTTCTATTTATTCTGTTTTCAGTAATTTAAATACAATGAAACTTACAAAATAATTAAAAGTACTTTTTAAATATTTGAGTTACATTTTATGCTTCAGATACAATTATAGTTTATTATCAGGCTTTTACATCATGTCCCAAGTTTATTACTTTTCATTTTTATAAATCAACATTTTGATCATAGATAAAGAAATGTTCTTAACATTTTGTATAAGGGGCAGTGATTTTGTGTGTGTGTGCATGTATACTTGTGTATTTGTGGGTACACGTGCATACGTAAGCAAGTGTCTTCCCTCAGGCACTGTTCACCTTTTTTGTTGGGACAAGGTCTCTCATTGGCCTGGAACTCACCTTATAGGCTCGTAAGACTGTCTGACCGGTGAGCCCCAGGAATATGTCTCTGCCTCGTAGTGCTGGGGTTACAAGTGTACACCAGCATGCTCACCTTTCTTTAAAATGTGAGTTTTAGAGAATTAACTCAGGTCCTCATGGTTGTAAAGCAAGCACTTTACTGATGCCCATCTCCCCAGTCCAATGATTTTCAATACTCTATTTGTACGTTCTAGCCCCTATCTGCCAATATAACATTGAATATGAATCTATACATTTTCTGAAGAGTCATGCTAGGGTTGGATCCAGAAAAAACAGGTACAACAAAACAGCAAATACAAGTCAGGTAACAACAGAGAACTGAATGATATCCTTAGGAAAGTAAAGCTGTTTATTTCATATTATAAATGATGAAAAATAAATCGTCCCTATGTGAGTCAATAACATACACACCAATATCTGACCTTATTTTAGCACCTCAGAAAGCTGTGGAACAGGATGCCTAACTCCAGCCTATCAAGACCAGATACCTAGCCTTGAGGTCTAGGCTTGGAGACTATGAGTAACTTTTTTTTTTTTTTTTTTTTTGGGTTTTTGTAGACAGGGTTTCTCTGTGTAGCTTTGCGCCTTTCCTGGAGCTCACTTGGTAGCCCAGGCTGGCCTCGAACTCACAGAGATCCGCCTGGCTCTGCCTCCCAAGTGCTGGGATTAAAGGCGTGCGCCACCAACGCCCGGCGACTATGAGTAACCTTAAAGGCAGTCCTTCCTTGATGGTGAGAAAAGGCATTATGGCTTTAGGGAAGGTAGAGGTTGCAGAATCATCAGAGTGGACACTGTTTCCTCCTAGGACTCAACTTCAGGGAAAGAAATGACCACATGGATTAAAAAAAGAGGATGTCTTCAACTTTCACATGCCCTCATCTGACCAGGGAATATTTTGTCTTGGTAAATCTTAGAGGTTCTACCCAAATACTTGCTCATCTTAAGACATCTTCTAGAACCCACACTAGTGGGATATGTAGCCAGGACACTGGCAAGGTTATCCTGGCCCCTACAGTAAGGCCACAGGTTACATTACCCTATGTCCTACTTGTGGTCCTTGGTAAAGTGAGAGGGCAGAGCAGGGTCACAGACATGACAGCCATGGAAGATGAAGTCCTGGGCAAGAAAGGTAGGCATGTCGTCTTTGCTACAAACCTATTTAGCAGCCACCCTACTTTATGCACCATTTTAATTCTCCAGGATCTGAGACTCCAGCATAGATGCCATAAACTGAAGAGATGATAAATAGAAAAGTTTGGTTTGGGGAGTCAGGAAAACACCTTTATTCCCTAGTAGTCAAAGTTCTGGGCACCTAGGGGTTTTCTTTCCCTTGTTGCTCCATCAATTGCCCTTTACACTATATAGTTGAAGAAGAGTACACAGGAAGAACTCCCCAGTCAGACACAGTTCTTGTCATCCCCCAAACCCTTGAGGATACCAGTAAGGAAGCTTCTTTGGAGGGGCATTTGATTTGGCTTTCATAATTTTTAACACCAAGTGTGGTTATCTTAGTTAGAGTTTCTGTTGCTGTGATAAAACATCATGACCAAATCAAACTTGGGAAAAAAAGGTTTATTTCATCTCACATGTCCTGATCACAGTTCTGATCAGGAACTGAGAACAGGAACCTAGAGACACAAATGGAGGAGTACTGCTTACTGGCTTGTTCCTCCCTAGCTTGCCTGTCCTGTTTTCTTATAGCACACAGGACCACTAGACTAGGGGTGTCCCCACCCACAATGTGCTGGGCCCTCACACATCAATCACTCATTAAGAAAATGTACTACACACACACACACACACACACACACACACACACACACACACACACACACACACACACACACAATGCACTATAGACCTGCCTACAGTCCAATCTTTTTTTTTTTTTTTGGTTTTTCGAGACAGGGTTTCTCTGTGTAGCTTTGCGCCCAGGCCAATCTTATGGAGACATTTTCTCAAGTGAGAATCCTTCTCAAATGACTCTAGCTTGCGTCAAATTGACATTAAATTGACCAGCACAGGGCAGAGAGTGGCAGGCACCTGCCATGAGACCCAAGAAGATGGAAGCAGGCCTCCCTGATAGACAGCAGCCTGTGTTTCCAAACAGTTGTGGGCCTGAAGAGACAGCTCAGCAGTTAAGACCAGACAGTTTCCAGAGGATCTGGGCTTCAATCCCAGCATCACATGGCTGCTCACAACCATCTGTAACTCCAGTCCCAGGCAATCTAATGTCTTCTGGCCTTGGCAAGCACTACACACACACAGAGCTCACAGGCATATATACAGGCAAAACATCGATACACATAAAATACATAAACACATAAAATACAAAACAAAATAAAACAAAAAACCAAAGGGCTACTGTGTCCACTTGATTGTATGGTATCTTTTTTTAAAACAATTTAAAACAAGCACAGTGTTTTATGGGATATGCATGGGAGGAGTCTGAGACTTTTAGGGTTAATGAAGAGTCTGAGCAGTTTCCCATGGGAAATGGCCACCTTCAGCACACTGCTATCACTGAGCATGATAACGAGTGGGGTTAGAGATGATAATTTGTTTCCTAAATGCAATTAATAAGGACAGTGGGAAGAAAAAGCATCACTCAGACAGAACCAAATATAACTCTTGGGTTTTGACTCACAGATGTTTGCCACAACAGACGCCATGAATGATGACTACGAGGCAGATCCCTGGCTCTCCAACAATTCCAGTGATAACAGCCAGGAGCACAAATACTTCCTAAAGTTCAAGGAGATCTTTCTGCCCTGCATGTACCTGATGGTGTTTGTCTTTGGACTAGTAGGGAACTCCCTGGTTCTGATTATATACATTTTCTACCAGAAACTGAGGAGTCTGACAGATGTGTTCCTGGTGAACTTGCCCCTGGCTGACCTGGTATTTGTCTGTACTCTGCCCTTTTGGGCCTATGCAGGCACCTATGAGTGGGTCTTTGGCACAGTCATGTGCAAAACTCTTCGAGGCATGTATACAGTAAACTTCTACGTGTCCATGCTCACTCTTACCTGCATCACGGTGGATCGTTTCATTGTGGTGGTCCAGGCTACTAAGGTCTTTAACCAGCAGGCTAAGTGGAAGATGTGGGGCCAGGTCACTTGCTTGCTCATTTGGGTGGTCTCCCTGTTGGTCTCTTTGCCACAGATCATCTATGGTAATGTTGAACGTTTTGATAAGCTTATCTGTCAGTACCACAATGAGGCGATTTCTACTGTGGTTCTTGCCACGCAGATGACTCTGGGGTTCTTCTTGCCACTGCTCACTATGATTATGTGCTACTCAGGCATTATCAAGACCTTGCTTCATGCTCGAGGCTTCCAGAAGCACAAATCTCTAAAGATCATCTTCGTTGTAGTGGCCGTGTTCCTGCTGACCCAGACACCCTTCAACCTTGCCATGTTAATCCAGAGCACAAGCTGGGAGCACTATATTATCACCAGCTTTCAGTACGCTATCCTAGTGACAGAGGCTATAGCATACTTTCGGGCTTGCCTCAATCCTGTGCTCTACGCCTTTGTTGGCTTAAAGTTCCGGAAGAACCTCTGGAAATTTGCGAAGGACATTGGCTGCCTCCCTTACTTGGGAGTCTCAAGTCAGTGGAAATCTTCTGAGGACAGTTCCAAGACTTGTTCTGCCTCCCACAATGTAGAGACCACCAGCATGTTCCAATTGCAGTAGGCCTGGCCAGACTTGGAGAAACTAGCATCAGAATTCTTAGGAGCATGGCTATGTCCTTTGGATGCAACAAGAAAGGCGTTGCTTATAGTATTCGGACTCTTGTGGAGAAGTCACTGAAAACTGTGGCTGGTATACAAAGCTTCTCAGATATAAACATATCCTGTTCCTAATATCTAAGCCTCAATGTTCAAAGGAGAAATGTCTTATTATTTTTTAAGCACTTTCTCTCTTCCATCCCTAAGAATGCTAATTCTAGAGACCTCAGGTTCTCTTTTACCAAGTTTGGGGCTAAAAGTTGAAGAGGAGTTGCATCAACAAAGCTGTTGATGGCAGGTGTCATGCAAGGTTCCTGAGCTCAGAAGATTCTTCTATGGGCAAGCAGTGGAGAACACAAGTGCTGGTCACCGGGCACCTAATAGGATGAGACCAAGCTCTGATTCATCCAGGGGTTTGACTTTTGTATTGGTGGAATGCTTATATTTTCTTGGGTTATTTTTTGAAAGTACAGCATAAGAGACTGAAATTAGGCCAGGATAAATAGCTGAATTTCAGTGGTTCATATAATGCTAGAAAAATGTGTAAAAAGGAGCTTAAGACTATAACAAATCTAAGCAGCATTATTAGAGGGACTCTGGTGGCTTTGCTCATCTTAAAACAAAAACAAAAATAAAAACAGAACTTTCCAATGCCTGCCACACATAATAAATATGTACACACAAATATATCAAATATTATGAGTTTCATGGCTAAGAAATAAAACATTTTAAAAGTTTTCAAACTGCTTTCACCTTTAGGTACATTCTATTTTAATCTGGTATGCCTGGGACACAAAACAAAATAAACCCTCACAAACAACACAAAAATAATCCAGCTAGAATAAAGGAAATAAGTTAAAATTAAACTTGGGGGGCAGTGGTCTATGAAAGAAATAGACTATACCAGTGGTAACAACCTTGCTTTCATGGTGGTTTCCTGCTCCTGCCCAAGATGTGGGGTGCATTTGTTTAACTCTATAATACAGCTCCAGGATGAGGTAATTTTATATGCCAGACTAGACTGATACTGACTAGACCCTGACAATCAGGTGAATAGCCCTATAGGTGCTTGCTGGGTGCTTGTATCTCCAAATCATTTACCTAAATATCAACATCTACCTAAAAAGGCTGACCAGAATGCATAGAAGGTTAGCTAATCCTGGGCTCAGGGGCTGGAGAGAGCAGCCTAGGACTGCCTCCCTGCCCTTCACTAGGTGAGACCTGGAACAAATGCATCTCAACCTCTGTCAACATGCTTGCACTCATGATATAGCCCCTTCCCTTTGTCTCGTCTCTTTCCTTTCTCCCTCTTCTCCTTTCCTCCTCCCTTACTATAAGCCTTGACCAATCTGGAACTTGCTGTGTAGACCAGCCTGGCCTCAAACTCACAGAAATCTACTTGTCTCTGACTCTCAAGTGCTGGGTTAAAGCCAGGCCAGAACACCTGACCTGAACAAATCTCTTAACCTTTGGCCATGTCTTTTTAGTGAGATGGCACATGTCTCTCAGTTGATTTGAGGAGGACTTGAGATAACACATATGAAACACCTAGCACAATGGGCTGGGGAAGTAGTTCTGTTGGTAGATGCTTGCCCAGCATTCATGGAGTCCTGGGTTTGGACTCCAGCACTACATTAAAATTGGGTGTGGTGAAACACACCTATAATCCCAATATTTGAGTGTGAAGGAAGGAGGATCAAAAGTTTAAGGTTATTCTCATCTAGAGAAAGTTTGAGGCCAACTCAGGCTACATGAAACCCTGTCTCAAAACAAAGTCAAATCAAATCAAATCAAATCACCCCACAGCACAATCTATTTGTAGGTAGAAGGTCTCCAAACTGGTAGCAGTTATTTCTTAGATATCTAGTAGAGGTTCCTTATGCCATCCCTATGAGTGGGTGGAGTGACTAGGCTGTTGTGTCCTTTTTTCTGGACATGCAGGGCATGCCCCATGAATTTCAGCTCATCAAAATGTGACCACCCCTGGGAGTACCCACATGGTCCCATGCACTGTTGTATCAAACATACACATAAGGGCTATAGTACACTTCCTTGCTATGTACAAGTGACATGTAAGACCAAGTGCTTACTCAAACAACTAGCCTGCTCTATACAGGGTGATAAGGCTAACCTTCCATGCATTCATCTTTATTTGTAACACTGCTGATGGAGGGGGCCTGAGTCCCTGATTTCCCTAATATTACAGTTCAGGAGATAAAGGCTCTAAATGGGAAGGAAGATGAATCAGGTATCAGGGCCCTGTAGCTATCTACACAGGTATTCTAGAGAGAGGCAGGGCTGGGCACTCAACACTCAGAGACAGTGCCACCCTAGGCCAATCCTAGAAAGCTTCTTCAAGGCCTGGCTCATCAACTCAGTGTCAGGTGACAGTGTTCCCTGGACCATCCCTGACCAGCTGTCTGTCCAACAAACAAATCGGATGAGATGGGAGAACCCACTAGATCATGCCCTCTTCCCGGCTCCCCACAGAAATGTTTATACTGGCCTTTATGCAGCTTAAGAGAAGCTTCTTTGTCTGTTGCCAGGAAAAAATATCAATAGAACCTTCCTTCTGTCTGCCTCCTCAGCCACTATTTGCCTTATTCTCTGGGCATCAATTTATTTCCACCTGGGGAATGTTACTATCTCTTCCTGTATGTACACCACCATTAGCAATAAATACACACACAAAACAAAATACAACAAAAAACCCAGCATGTGTTAGTTAAAGACAGCTTGTGTCTGGCCTGCAAGCTACCTGCACCATGGCCCAGGAAAGGCTGTTGCTGCATGCTCCATTCCCTTAGAGGTGTTAGAAGTCTCAAGCATTCAGTCATCACTTTTTCCTACTTTTGGTTCCCCTTCTTGCTCATAGCAGCAGATAATATCAAAGGCCAGGTTGCTATGGTGGAGTTGGGGGAAGAGCTGGATGAACATGGACCCTGCTTGAATTCAGACTGTCCTAGATATGTTTCAGAGCCTGACAGCAAAGACTGTATGCTCCCCTCCCACTGGGCTCCCTATTTCTGAGGATGGTGGAAGTGCTTATGGGCTCTGGCTTCAGTTAGACATATGAAGGCCATAGATAGCTATGTCTTCTGAGAAGTGAATGCATGGTGACTCCCTTCTAGAGGCATCTGATCATCCAGGAATTCTTGGTGTCTTGGATGAGGAGATAGTACCACAAGAAGGCAGAAAAGGGAACACAGCATCCAGAAGCTGTCGGTCACTCTGGCTTCCACAGAGCTTTCAAAGTAGCACCTTGGCCAGCTGCTTGGTTCTTCAGGTCCATAGTCACTAGTGATGTTTTACAGGCAGCTTGGTACTGTCATCTCAACTTCTCAGAGAAAAATTGAGTGAGGGCTGGTCCTTGTTAGCAGCCTCTCTGCCCCTAAACACTGGCCACAGAGCTTTCAGGCAGGTGTTATACCACAGAGGGCCTGCCTGCTCTGTACTCCTCTGTAGTCAGAGGTCGTGGGTTAATGCAGGCATAAGGTGGCTTTTGAACTTTAACCATGATCACCATATCCTGTCCTTGTTTTGTTTCTGAGATAGCAGGTATCAGATCTCTTGGCTGGTGACCACAGTTCCCCCACTAAGCACTCTGGCCGGAAAGCCCTGGTTTTGAAGCAATTGCTGGCATGCAGGCTCTGAGAGCAGGTTTCAGATCATTTCATGTAATCTGGGTACCTGAAGGCCTTTATTTATTTATTTATTTATTTATTTTAAATGAGGCCACAAGTTGAGATACTGAGACGCATGTGTACACAGTAGACATGTACAACCCAGGCTGACATCAAAACTCAGCATCAACATCAGGAAAATCACCTATCTCCACAGGAGGTTTCTGGCCCAGATCCTTTCTCCTATTGCCTTTCTTAGGGAGGGGTAGATGGTATTCTAGGCTCTCCTGAACAGCTAGAGGAGCTGCATTTAGAGGCTGCACTGCCATGGCCACAGGGCCTGGAAGCTTGTTTGGGTCTGGAGCTTAAACTCTTCACCCTGAATGGCCGGTATATCTGGTACCTAGAGAAGAGGCCAGGTTGTGGAGACTGGCTGTGTGTGAGCTGGGCACAGGCCAAGGGAGCCAACTACCTATCACCTCAGTTCTGAGAACAAGTGGAAATCTGGGTAGTGGTGTTTAGGACACTAAGAGAGAGGCTGCAGGAAAGTCTGAAAGATTATAAAGGACATCCATCTGCTACAGGTGAGGGCTGTGTTCCTGCTACGTATCACCAATCAAGATAAGCCAGGAATTGAGGAAAAGGCAGTTGTCACCAGGAAATCCTGTTAGGTTTCCTTGTGGGAGTGAAGCTGGATTTGGAGACTTTTCCTTGTTCTATCATTTCCAGGAAGGGTCAAAGCTTAATTCCTCTTTCATTACTTTGTTCCTCAGATTGCGTTCCTCATATTGCTTACCTTTCCCTCTAACTTTCCTGTGAGGGATGCTGGTGCAAGTCCAAGGCTCTCTTTCCCATACTTTCTCAGACTCTTGCGGTCTTTGATTGAGTTTTAAACATGGGAATAAAAGAAATGCTAGGGAAAAACTCTTATACATGCTAACACACAACCTATAGTGTAGAAAGGTGGCTCTTTGTTCACATAGGTGAGATATAAGGACCATAGATTCCCACCAGACGGTCCCAGATCTGTGCTGGTGGCTACAGGCCAGCATGCTAGCAGTTTCCTTTCTCTGGAACAGTTCCTGATTTCCCATGACCAAAAACTACACATACAGGTCAGTAGTCTAGAAGCTTTCTGTTTCTGTTCCTACTAGAAAGAGGAAGGTGAAAGGATGAGGAAGGAAGCTAGAGAACAGTCACTTTATGCAGGTTACAGGTGCTTGTGAGAAGACACTTTCAAATCAATAGTATCCTTCTGGGCTCTTAGCTCCTAGTCTACTCACCCTTCTGTCTATGCAGCTTGCCAGGTACCAAGGGCAGAATGTAGTTTACTGCTAAAGGAAGAGAAGATACTCTGGGGAACACTGGGTCATGGGGGTTAGGGTGAACACCGATGACTACTGACCAGTATGTGTCAGAGAATTGTTTAAGGAAGGAGGGAATTGGTCCAAAGTCATAGAAGCAACAGTGAATAGGAGCTATCTTAGGTTTGACAGTGAGGAGGTTTGTTCATGAGCTGAATTCAGTGACTTTGGTCAGAGAATACACAAGTGTGGAGATACACTTAAGCCTAAAACCTAGGCTAACAGCCTCATGAAGATTAAGTACAGCCCCTCCCATGTGGCAGAAATTGACATGATAAAGATGACAGGTAACTCCTGGCTCTATTTTGGATTCTGAGTAGGAGAGAGAGATCTCACTGTGAGTCAGAATGAGCTCACAGAAGTCTTTCACCTGAAGAAATGTTGGCCAAGCAATTTTGAGACTGTATTTGCTACTTTTTGCTTTTATAAAATATCTGACAGGAGCAACTTAAGGAAGGATTTATTCTGGCTCAGAGAGTATCAGTCCATCATAGCAGAGAAAGCATGGTAGAGCAGCCCCATCTAGACTTATTTACATGACATTGGGCTTGGACGCAGAGAACTCATGCTGGAACCAGGGGTAGGCAAAACTTTCATAGGCGCAGCCTGAGTAACTTCTCTAACTTACTTCCACCAGTCAGGTCACACCTTCTAAATGATCCACAGCTTTCAAAGTAGTGCCACAAGCCTAGGACCAAACATTCAAAACAAACTTGCCAGGGACATTTCAGATTCAGAAGGTAACATTTAGCCCTTGACCTCCAACGGCTCACTGCCATCTCACAATACAAAATGTACTTAGTTCAGCTTCAAAGAAAGACCTGTAGTCTTAACAGCCTCAACACTGTCTGAAACTTCAAAGTTTGAAGTCCCCTTTGAGACTTAAGGCATGCTCAATTGTGAGATCCTGTAGAATCAAAATTTAAACTATATGCTTCTAATATATAAAGACACTCCCATTCTAAAATGGAGGTATGAGAGTAGAGCAAAGAAAGACATGACAACAGTGAAAACATTACATCCTAGTTTCATGTCTAGCATTTGGTATTAGCCCTACCTTTATGGGCCTTCTTGCCTGATGCACATATAAGGTTTCTTTTGGACTGGTTCTACTTAGGTGCCTGTAGCTTTCCTTGGTAAATGTTCTACATTCCTGCTATCTCCAATACATTGGGGTCTCCACTGCAATTTAGGCTTTCTCCTCAAATTTGCATGCATAGCCCACTAATAGACTATCAGAGAATCTGATCCTACTACACATTGCCTGGCCTCCCATTCTTTTCTCTAGATTCTTAGTGCAAATGTCCATGACTTGCAACTCTTACATTCTGCAATGCCTACAACGCCAGCACCATGTGGTTAATGTCAAGTTCTGCTGCCAGCTTGATAAGTAGCTGGGTCTTCTTGGACCACAGCTGAAGTAGGAGTGTTTATGTAGTGAAACCTGGAAAAATACTTTCTAGGTGTGGCTCTATCTTTTCAGACATTCTCTTTTTAAAGGAAAGTCAAAAGCATTTAGATTTTTATATTCTGAAGCCTTTGATGAAAGGGCTCTTTCCCTTAGGGTCCTTTTATTTCTTACTGTCCCAATGCAAAGCAGTTCTTTCCTTTTAGTGGCATTAATCTCTTAACAGTTTTATCTACTTTGTCCACAGTTACTTTATATACAACTTCAGATACAATTGTGCTTCTTTCCTTGCCAAGCTAAATACTTTTATATCTCACTGTTCTGCTTTTTTTTTCTCCGATGCTCATAAACTTGGCTAAAATTAGAGAATAGTAAGCCTGAATGCTATGCTTGGTAGGAGTATAAAGTGAAAGAAAGATGCTTGTTCATATGGCATAGATCAGGAAACAAAGAGCACAGGCCAGAACATAAATAAATTAAAATTTATTTTTTTAAATGTATATGTACATGAGGTTATGCGTATCATGTGTGTGTGGGTGTTCATGGTAGTCAGAGGGTGTCTTAATCCTTGGAACTGGAGTTACAGATGGTTATCTGATGTCTGATATGAGTGCTGGGAATCTGGGTCCTCTACAAGAGCAGTCAGTGTTCTAAACTGCTGAGCCATCTCTCCAGTCCTTAGTCTATTATTTTTAAGTTCAGCATCACTCAAAGTTTCAGGGCACAAATGACACGTGGCTAATTTTTTAGCCAGAATGTAACACTATTGACCTCTACTCCAATTCCTGATAAAGTCCTTGTTCCCAACCAAAACTTTAATGGGCACAGTCTATATTGTACACATTTCTAGTGGCATTCTGGTCTTGTGAACAGTTCACTAAGCTCTGCTTACAGTGTTCTACGGCTTTGCTGGCTGGAATCTCCAAACCTTTTCACAGTCTTCCACAAAGGTCTTAGAACCATAGTCAGATTTAATCACAACGACCCCAATTTTCTGCAATAACTATCGTTTTCATCACAAAATACTCAACAGAAGTAATTTAAGGGTGGAAGGATGTATTTTGGCTTATGGATTCATAGAGTCTCAGTATGTCAAAGGTTTGACTTTAATTGCAAAAGGCCTTTATGGAGATGATTAAAAATCTACCAGTGTCCTGGCATGAAATGTAGATTAAGGGACACAGGGGACTGTGTAAAGATGCTGCAAGAAGGTGGCCATCTGCAAACCAGGGGAGAAGAAATCTCTGCCAGTACTTTGATCTCTGGTATCCAGCCTCCAGAACAGCAATAAATTGCATTTCCATGGTTTAAGTCACTCAATCGGTGGTCTCTTGTTGTGGCAGCCTGAGCTAATACAGTTGTCCAAGCCAAAGACTGGCCTTAGTGAAGATGCTGAATCGCACCACACATACACTTACCCGGAAATTTCTGACACAGCACCTTCCTGAATGTTTCCTGAACCCTGTCACTTTTTAAGAACCGCCCTACTCTGAACACTGTGCTGGGGCATTTTCCCTTGCCAGAGACAGCTAATCCTGCTTCTACAATCTTATTTTCCTGGTCTTTTGATAAGAAAGTACAAGGAACAGGCACTTAATGAGTACTTAGGAAATGGAGGTAATATCTACTCACTGTTCAGCCATATTTGGGTCCATTGAATCAGTTTCAGTGGGTGTTTCAGGCAAGGAGGAGCCAGATTCTTGGATCTGGCACAATTCCTCATCAGTGATGATGTCAAACACAGCATCATCTGGTGGTCTGCAGACTGAATTTGCTCCTGGTTGGTGGAGGCAAAGCAGGAGAGAAAAAGACATACATACCATTATGCATAAGACTGGAGATAACATAGGGAAGTGAGCAGTGCTGCTATGGAGAACAAGCTGATAGAATACATTTTAAATGGTTTTTTAACTGACTACTCTTCTATGTAGGTATGAGACAAAGACCACTAGGACATTACAGGAGAACAGAGGGACTACAGAAGATTTTGAATATACAGCCTCTCTCAAATGCAAAGTAGAAATTTCAGCTACTTCCACATTCTCTAGGACCCTTATTTAGAAGGAAAAAAAAACTATCAAAACTATATCAGAAAAGAAACTAACAAAGAAAATATATGGATCCAATGAGACCTTGCTCCATTAAATACAGTCAGAAATAATTTGAAGCAGGAGATTACCTGACTTGCATCCCCTCCCCCTTTCCAGTTCATTGTTGGGCAGAACAGAGCTTCTCTCTATCCAGGGAGCTACAGGAGGCATTGGGTCTTGTGTTTGACCTTGACCACTCAATCTGAAGGCCACTGTGCCAGACAGCTACCCATAAATATGTATTGTGTTTAATATAAGGGTAAGTATGAGGCAGAAGAAAAAAAAGAGCAGACAGAAAATGAAAGAAATCAAAACAAGCAACCTCAGCACCCTAACATAGTATCACTTTGTCATTGCTGAATACCTACTGGTGAGATAGGGCAAGGGCACTTAGGCTACTAAGTAAGAACAGTTTAGCTGTCCTCTGCTTTAGAGGTAATGATTTTCCTCTCAAGTTTCTGTAACAGAGAACAAGAAGAACAAACTGACAAAAAGGAATTTGTTTTCTGAGGCTGACAAAGGAATGGGAAATAGGCAAGGGAAATACAAAAGAATGTGCACCAAGGGACTAACAAAGACCAGAGTAAACAGAAGCTATATCATGTTCATGGATTGAAATGGACATCACTTTATTAAGATGTCAAATCTCTCCAAATCCAATGAAACCCCCAATGAAAACCTCATCATGATTTATTTTTAGAAACTGAGAAACTTATTCTAAAATGTATATGTTCAATAAAGAACAAAATTGGAGGGCTTTCTTTGCCTGTCAGTAAGATGCATTAAGAATCTATGGTAACCAGCTGGACATAGTATAAACACGCCTTTAATCGCAGTACTTCGGAGGCAGAGGCAGGTGGATCTCTGTGAGTTTGAGGCTAGCTAGTCTACACAGTGAGTTCCAGGATAACCAGGGCTACATAGAAAAACCAATTCTGTCTCAAACAACTAAAAATACCAAAAAACTAAACAACAAAAAACCATAGACTCTATGGTAACCATACAGTAAGGAATTGGTGGAACGAAAAGGCACACGGGCGGTGGTGGTGCACACAGAGAAACCTT